CGCTGGTGGACTACGGGAGGTGGTCGTCTCCCGTTATGCAGCTAATTATTCCAGGGTTGAAGAATCCAGGAAAACCAGCCGGTTGAAGAAAGCCAACAATCAGACGGAGACGGACAACCAGCAGAAGATAAAACCAATCCAGCAATACATGCACAAATACGTAACCACGCAGACAACCTCGAACACGGAAGCTCGAGTCTCATCGACGCAAGAGGAAATGGCAGAAGAGAGCGAGGCGCTGGAAAAGGAAGGTTTTCTCGTAACAGGAACGAAACAAGGGGACGATTTCGGCCGGCCACTGAGGGAATGGTTGGACATTGTGGGGAGGGGGGGCGATCACCAATGTAGCCGCCAACGGACACTGTGGATGGCTTGCTTTCTTCGCAGCACTACACAACATATCGACTGGACTAACACAGCTGGAATCCAGTGCACTGGCAGCAGCAACTGGGCTGAAAAAGCAAGTAATGAACTAACATGATAGCAAACGTGGCAGACGAGTTCACGGTAACAAAGAGGAATGCGAAGCAGCGCTCGCAGCAGCCGGAAAAGGAGTCACCAAGCAAGCTGCAGACACAGAAAAGCTGTGCACATCGGCTAACCACTACGCGGATCAACGGAACAGATCAGTCAAAGCGTCCGTGACAATGAATTACTGGGTGAGTCCGGAACACATAAAAACAATGGCGATGCACGCCCGAGAAATGGTGTTTGTCCTGGATGTATTACAGGAGGAGAAAGTAATGCTGCAAGAATACGGATACGAAGAAATGGAGATGCCAGATAAGACGGTGATCGAGACAGGAACGTAGGTAACATTGCCGTCGAACTTCGGAGCGGACATTCTGAGGGAACTTACAGCAGCAGGAACACTGCCTTTCATCATGGTGCTGCACTACAGCAACACAGGCAATCACTACCAGGCGGTCACGTACGATCCCAAGCGATATCAAACATACCCAGATCAGTGGAAAGCGTTCACAGGACGGCGGAACAACATACTGATCAAATATGGAGGGAGATCGTTAGATACAGAACTGTTCGACGGGGAAAAAACAGCAAAAGATGCAACTAAGGAGCTCAAAGCCATCCGCAGAACTGACAAAGACGCCAAGGCTAAAGGACAAGACTCGAAGAATGAGAATACCAGAGCAGACGAAGGAGACACAACACAACAAGTTGGAGGAAGAGAAGCAAAAAGGGCCCAGCGGTAGCTGCTGCGAAAGGATGAACCAATACTGCGCTACAGAAGACGCGGAGGTGCACAAGGAACAGGAAATAGCGACAATCACGGGGGGCGAGGCAAGCAAGTCGACAACAGCAGCAATCCGCAACTCACCGACGGCACACTATCCACCCAGCGTTACAACAGCAACCGCAATGAAGGTGCCAGGAAAAAAGGAAGGAATCGCAGATCAAGATGCCAAGACAGCACACGGGCCAGTGCAACCACCCAAGGAGCCAAATGGTGGAGGGACTAACTAAGAAGCCGAACAGAGAGGGGCGACACCAAGACGGTGGAGGACAACAGACAATACGACGTTTTTTCAAGCACATAACGGAGCAGGAAAGAATGAAGTCCATACAAGATGAGCACAGAAATCTTAACAAGCAAATGACAAGACAAACAAGACAACAATGAGGAGACGAAGACGACGACTAGCAACACAACAACATATCAACGACAAAACTAGGGGGGCAGGCCACATACAACATAAGAGGCATGGCAGTACAAAGGGAAACGATCGGGACCCATCTACAGGTACTGAGAGAGAGGCTAGAACGAGGAGTACGGGACATCATCTTCATTCAAGAGACGCACCTGACAGCCCGAGAGCAGGATTCATGCAGCGGCTCAATACGCAGCGATGTGGGGATGCAAGCGAGCCTGCGCGACGGTACTTTCAGCATGGTCGTCAGGCACAGCAAGCCGAGTAGAAGTAGCCATCCTACTCAATCCGTATGGAGCTGTCAAGGATCTAAAAGAATGGGGAGAGGAACACTGGACCGAACACCTCGTGATGGCCACTGGGGAGATCCAGAGAAAGCGACATCTTTTCATAAACGTATACGCACCGTCACACGGAGCAACAAGAACACTCTTCTTCAGCGCTTCGAGGGATAAGTCTGCCGGCGGATCAAACCATAGTATGCGGAGGAGATTTCAACTGTGTCACAAGAGCAGAGGTAGACAGAAGGGGGACAAACTCGACAGACGTTGTAGGGGCACGAGTCCTGCGGGGCTTCATTCAGGACAACGCTTTAATGGACACGGGAGAGTGCAATATACCAGCAGTGGCTACAGAGACGAACATGACGCTATATGCTAAAACCCACCACACACAGACATACAGCAGCGGACGGACAAAGGGGATTTCTCGCATCGATCGATGGTACATCTCGGGCCGGGACCGGAAGCAGATATGGGGGGGGGTGACAACAGACGAAACAATCTGCGATTCAGACCACAAGGGTGTGATTCTAGAGATGCATTACCCAAAAAGGGGCGTTGAGGGTTACGAAAAGGGTGGTGGTCTATCCACCACCGATGTACGTGCAGGCAGTCACGAGGGACAAGATAACAAAAAGACTGCACGATTGAGGGAGCACTATGGAGCAGATGAATCCACATACAATGGCGCAGGAATGGGACAAGTTCAAGAATGAAATCAAGGAGATGAAGCAGCTCAGACAACAAGCCCGCATAAGAATGACTCAAGGTTTGAGGTAGAAGATAAGGCGGATAAAACGCAAACTGGCAACAGGACGAGGAGAATCTGCAGATGAGGAACGGCATCAAGCAAAACTACTAGCAGAACTAAAATAATTGCAGGCACAGCGCAGAGCAATCAAGAGGAGAAGTCGTAAACAAGGGATCATGGATATCGAAAGCCTCAACAAAGCAATTTCTTCAACAGGATCTGCACAAAGTACGGAGCCAACATATTCCCACGCTAACAGCACCAGAAGGAGCCCCCAAACGCGGACTCCACGGCAAGGCGGACACGTTGGCAGACAGCTGGAGAAGCATTTTCGATGGGCATGCAGACAACGAAGCAGGAACAGATGAATTCATCAGCACGTGCAAGCAGGCATGGGAGCAGATTGACCTAAAAGAAATCGACAAGCAGATAACACAAGACGAAGTCGAAGCAGCAATAAAATAATGCAAGATCGGGAAAGCGTGCGGACCCGACAGCATGGGCAATGGATGGTATCGAGATTATGAAGACCTATTAGTGCCAATCCTGACAAAGCTCCTTAATGTATTTTTTGAAGAGGAACACACGCCAAAGTCCTTTAACGAGGCGTATATCTTCAGCATATCCAAAGGGGGGATACGAGCAACGCATTTAATTATCGGTCCATTGCTTTACTCAACACTGACTACAAGATATTCACCAGGTTCCTGGCGTGGAGAGTAAGAAAGCACATCAAACGGCTAGTGCATACGACGCAGTTCGGATTCATACCAGGGCGAATAATACATGAGGCAATAGATCTCCTGGCGGCGGCCA